CAACTTAACAACGAGACTGTCACGCTCAAAGTCCCGTCCTATTGACCGACGGGTCTTACATTTCCCGATGTGTCAATCTACCCTTTTGTTTTCTTGTTTGTGATTGCCTATAGATAATTCATGTACTGTATTATGAAACAAAAATACAAACCTAAATATTAAGGTTAATATTTATTTAGTTTCATATTTATTGCTAGGCTTCTTGCCGATCGGATCAAGGATGTCCTTCCCTCTATTGTGAACAAGTCTCAATACTGGTTTATTGCTGAGGTGTTTTTATAAAAAATGAGTGTAAAAAAAAAAAGTTGAGCTTAAAAAAATGTTTGATAAACACTTAAAAACAGCTTATTTTTACAGTTTTGGATAAAAAAAAGCTAAAAACATGAATCAGCAAAAATGAGATTATTCTCACAGCACAGCAGAAGTAGTTTTTTTTTTTCAAATCACAATAATACCAAACCAGCCCTCAATCTACTTTCGTCGAGGATAGTCGAATTAGAGATAATATTATGCTTTTGTAGGAGCTTCTGAAAAATTACCATAGAAATAATGGTCCTCTTAGATGTGCCTTACAATTAGACATTACGAAAGCTTATGATACCTTGGATTGAGAATTTCTTTTACACGCTCTGGCATTGTTCAGACTTCCAACTCCTATGATTAATTGAATCCGTTGTTGTGTGACTAGTTCTAAGTTTTCAGCTTCAGCTAACGGCGAGCTAGCGAAATTTTTTCTGAGTAAAATGGGGCTAAGACAAGGATATCCTCTATTCCCCTTGTATTTTTGTCATTGTTATGGAAGTACTAACCAAGTTACATTTTTTTGGCATGTCAACTGTCCCCCCATGGCCCTCTTAGTCCGAGGTGAGGCAATCAACTCCGACCTTCGGGTCCTTGGGTGGCTTGATCTAGTTTGATTTGGCACCATGCTTGGAGCTAGCTTCGTGTTATGGCTAGCTATTGAGGTTATATTATCTTATATTGATCAGGTTATAGCTTTTGCTATTCATGTCAATCCTTCTTGCTCCTTCAGCGGGAGTAGGTTTGAATCTCGTGCTAATCTTTTTTTCGAGTGCCCCTTTAGTATGCGGATTTGACGCTTCATTTTGGTTGCTTGTGACTTGTCTTGGTTAAATCACACATGGCTTATGTTCTTAAAAACAATATAAATGATAACATAAATACATGATAAGAATAACATTTTTTTTTTATAAAACAAGACTTAATTATAAAAAGACATAAGAACCGAAGTAAACTTAGCGAACCTCACGGTCAAAGAGCATGTTTGCTATTAAAATCCACGCATTTGCACAGAGAGATCAAAGATTTTATATACTTTTTTTTTAATAAAATTTGATAATATATAATAGTAAGAAAAAAATTAAATTGCTTTTTTATTTTATAGACACACTAAAATGCTTTTGTTTTTTTTTTTTTAAATTTAAGTATTTACTTTAATATTTAAATTTTCTCGCTCAAGTTGTAGCTTATTTTCTTCAGCATATACATGGAATTGTGCATAATGTGAATGAGCATGGAAATAAAAAAAGTAAGGAGTTGTGGATAATTAAACTAGGGTTAATGGGTTTATAACGGATAGTCTTGGAAATAAAAAAAGTAAATGAGAGCATAAGAGAACAAAAGTGTCATTCCGATTACCTAAGCAATCAGGAATTGGATTACCATCTACATCTAAAAAATTCAATTCCACCAATACAAGGAATTGAATTCCAAAATTTGTGTGGGCCCCACTGCTTTTTTGATTCCTCAATGTTTATTGTTTAGTAAACACCGGAATGTTCCGTAATCAAAATTTAATTCTAGATTTTTACGGATACGTAAGCACGTCTTAAATTTAATAATAAAAGAATTAAAATTAAAAAAAAAGTTTTCTTCCAAAAAATGCGAAAACAATTCTATATATGGTTTGTGGGATTCTTCTATTGTAACGGAGCCAGCTCAGATGATCTGACTTCTTTCCTTAATGATGAAAAGTGGGCCCACACTCCCACAGTCAACCAAATGCTAAAGTACGCAGCGCACGCACGTGATGACCCACAGAAGGAGCCAGTGGGATGTAAAGCAACCGCGGAAATTCGAATTGACAAAATAGCCCCTACGTGATTGTGAACCAAGAGGCAAATTTAGAAGGTTCTAATGGGCAAATTACGGAGGGACCACCGCATGCTACTGGGTACTAGGAGCCGACAGTGGGTAGCTCCTCGTGATGCCCCAACGTCGTCTTGCTGCTACCAACAATACACAGAAACATGTGTGTGAATGTGATATTGAAAGAAAGAAAAGGCCACTTTGTTGTTTGTTGCACTATTGAATTTGGGGGTAATTTTTTAGTGAGTCAGGAATACAAGAGAGTGTGGGTTTAGCTTTACAGTATGATTCGGTTAATTAAGTATCGTAATACAAGTGGTTGAATTTTTTTTTAAAATATCCAATCATTTATATTGTAACAGTTGATGTACCTGACATGATTCTAGACACATTGAAAAATTTCTCTGAATTTGGGGCCAAGTGTCCATTTCATTCATTTGGACATCCAATAAGGGAATTCTGGCAAACAACCGATGAAGTATTTTTTCGTTACATACCGATTCGATACTTAAATTATTACTTAAGTGAAAACTAAATCTCTATATATACTTTTGTTTTTTTAGAAAATTAAGTCATTAAACTTGCTAAGAACTGTCAAATTCTCCCAACTGTTTCTTTAAGATTAATGCTATTATATTCAATTTCTATCGATGTAAGTCAAGCGAGATGTAACGGACTTTAAAAGGTAGATTATCAGTTTTGGAAAACAACCGGACATTAACTTCCATTAACGTTGGTGTATGTTGAACACATGGTGAGAGATTGTACCAACCCGTCGCATGCGACCTGGTCAGAGTTGCAGTTGAGGTAGCTAATACTATAGAAACCTACCGCAGTCGAGGTAGTGTTTGCCTGCGCCACTGTTTGGAAACACATGTGGAATTCACAACTCGTTCTTTGGGAGCTCTAAAGTATGACTGCGTGTTATTGGGCTTTTGCAGAATTGAGTGAGGCCCATGTACACTCGCACCCAAACTCACATCCATGCATTCGGCCGAAACCAAACCCATGATGGCATGATGATGATGATCATGTATGTGTGTATGCATGTATTTTATTTTTGGCGCTTTTATATCCAGGTCCAAAAACATAGATGGTTTTTAGGAGTGAGTCCAATTACCTAATTATATGTATTTTTTTAATGCTCATTTTATATTTTCTAAAAATATTAAAAGGTAATTAAAATCTTCTAATATTATGCATTTTCAACTCCAAAAAATATAATTAATATCTTATAACCAATATATATATATATATATTGACATAAATCTATCTGCAAATTATTATACCCTAACTCAAGTAACAAATATATGAATGTATATCATATCTATAAGTAAGATATGAAACCTAACTGAAAGGTAGAAAAAACATAATATATCTACAAGCAAGACACATGAATCTTACTTGATTATAAAAAAGAATTTGTCATATAGGTAGATAAATATAATTAACCTGTGATATAGGTTGATTATAAAAAATTAAAAAAAAATCTATAAATGGGGTTTAAAACGGGATAAAGAACAAGAAAGAACAAAATAATAATAATAATAATAATAATCAAAGAGATAATTAGGAAGAAATTTGATTTTTATAATAAATCTTATCATTGAAGAGATAATTATCGATAATAAAATAATAAGATTTAAGGAAATGGACTTACTTTAATAAATTGGACTATTCCTACTATTGGCTCAAAAAATTGGATCTATATCAAGTTTTCCTTTTATTTTATTTTTTTACAGGGGGACAATTGGGGGTAAGCCACGGTTATCCATCTCCCCAGGTGTTGGAAAACCTCACAGAGGCATTTCAGTCTTCCCTTGAACACAAGTATGACTTTCACACATGATGGGATGATGATGACCATACATGTCACGGCAAAAACTATGGGATCGATTGAAACCAAATACGACCAAGAGTAAAATAGTAGGAAATTTAATTCCAATCGATAAATAATTTCATATTTTAGCATAGATGCGTGATCATTTTATTTTCTAGCGTAGATTAATGAAACTAAGATCAATATCACTTGTTAGAATTTTCCGCAATTGACCTCTCCTTTAAATTAAAAAAATCTTGATTGACTCTAATCTAATATTGAAAATATTTTGTAATCTCGAACAAATTACTCGTGTTTGTAAATAAATTAATGGTGCACACGTTATAATTAGAATTGTTCATATTTTAAGTTACATTTATCTTAGAAAGTAAACGGAGATCATCTTGTCATGCACACGTACCAAACAAATGGATAAGTTTGGAAACAATTAAGATTTTTATGATGAACCTTTTATTTATTTAATATATAATAACCAACAATATACCGTTTAATTAAATTTTTAGCAAATGTGACCCGTAATGATGATTTTTTTTGTTGTTATGCAATGATATTCTACTCTTTTTGTTTTGTTTTTGTTGGAAGGATATTTTACCATGAGTGAGAAATTTATGCTCGTAATGAGTTATTTATAATTTAGATATCAAACTCGTCATTCACGGCGTGAGTCAAACTTACCGTTTTCTATTGTACAATACTACTAGAGTCTAGATCGTAGGGCATTGACATCTTCAAATGGTAATTTAGAGAAAATATTTTCAGTAATGGTACAATGGTTCATTACCACAAGCTCCTTTCGTTTTGAAGCGGAGTAGAAATTTTTCAGTATACTAATAACATCACCTAGTACATTAAATGTCAGATAATTTTAAATTTATTTTTTCAAACTTATAATTAATCATATTATGATACATGGTACATCGAACCGTGTTTATCGCAATTGACATTCGTCAACCAAAAAGACAAAATTTAAAAAGAAAAAAAGAGCAAGAGAGAGAGACAAAGAGTGTTGATTTCATTCTTTAGGAGCTCTGCATTGCTTTTTGGGTGATTGGCCACTTTCTCTCTTCTCGCGCTCTTCCTCCTCGAGCGAGAAAGGGAAACACAAAACACAAAATACACACACAAACAACAAAAAATCCACCAATCTCCATTTCCAATTTCCACCAAGGACCACACACCCAATCCTAATCTGCATTTCTCTGCCCCAAACCCTAGCCTCCTCCCCTCTACCCATTTCTCAATTTCCTCTAACCATCGATCGCCTACGCCCAATCCCCAAAATTCCGCCTTTGGCACCGCCGCAGATGAACTTCCCTCCGCCATCGGTTTCGATTTAGGGTTCGGGCTTGTTCGATGCTATCTCTCTCCCCTGACAACCCCATCGCCGGTTCGCTTAGGCAGGTTAGCTCGCTCTCCCTCTCTCGCTCTCTTTCTATCCAATTTCTTCGTTTCGCGTTCGTCAAGTTTTCTTTGGAGTTAATGCTTATAAACACGTCTTGTTTTCTATTGGGGTTTCTTGTTTTACACGGAAGAAATGATTCGTGTTGTTTTAATATTTGCACGAATTGGGGGTTTGTTGTTGCTTTGTTTAGTATTTAATATTGTGTGATATGGCTGTGATTAGGGTTAGGGCAATTAGGCAAATGGAAGGGTCGGGTGGCAATCTTGACTCGTTTAGAGCTTCTCCGGGAAGCAGTAGTAATAGGAGATATGGGGTGTTATCGGCTTCCAATATCATTCGGGCGCCAATTTCTACCTTATTGGAGTACTCGGGTATTCTCCGCGGCCGCTCTAGTCACCAAGAAGCTGAGTCTTTGATTAACGGGCGTAGCGCTGCTGCGTTCCGGGATCACCATCTTAGTCAGCTAGACCAATTACCAACGACAAGCAATGATGGGGAGGTTTCTATTAGGATAATTGGTGCAGGGGAACAGGAGCATGATAGGGAAGGACCTGGGATAGTATCTGGACGGCTGAGGGAAGTTACTGTACCGCCAAATGATGTTTCTGCACCCCCAATGGCTGGGGTGGCTTCTGTAGCATTGGGAACGGAGGATGTGGGTCAGACAGATGGCAGAACAGATCGTACTACGGGAGAGGGCAGTCCCCAATTGTTAAATGGAACTGCTGATGTAGAAGGAGGTGATGGAACTGGGGCTAATGGCAGGGATTCTTCTTACCAGAGATATGATATTCAGCAGGCTGCTAGGGGTATTGAACAAGTCCTGCCCTTTTCCTTGCTTCTATTGGTGGTCTTCATCCGCCAGCATTTGCAAGGTCAGTGTCCTGCCAACGTATTATGTGTGTGTCGATTGTGCTTTTCTATTGTAAAGGATAAATGTTTACTCATGGTGATAATTGGGTTGATGACACTCTTGGGAATTGTCAATTCCATGCTGTCCTGGTTTGCATTCTGATTCATAAGTAATAACCTTTTCAAGATTGGTATATATTTGAGATCCTAAAAAGAGTTGATTTCTTTCTTATGAATTAAATGCACATGCTTGCATTTGTACACTAATGGTTATTAGTTGCAATGAACTATGGCATTTAAAAAGTTCACCTTTGTAGGCCCTTTCTCCCTTCCTTTTAAATTAGTGACCACTTTTCATTTTGCAATCATTACAGGTTTCTTTGTTACAATTTGGATTGCTGCTGTTATGTTCAAGTCAAATGATATATTAAGGAAACAGACAGCTTTGAAGGTATTCGTAATATGAATTTATTTATTTTTCCAACTTTCAGCAGATGCTCTTGTGTTTTGCATAGTCATTTTTTGTTTGTTAAGAATAGACATGGTTGGTGGCTGCAGGGAGAGAGGAAAATCACGGTTCTAATGGGCATCTCCCTTGCATTCGCATCGCATGTGGTTGGTGTTTACTGGTGGTTCCAGAATGACGATCTTTTGTACCCATTAATTATGCTTCCTCCTAAAGTTATACCACCCTTCTGGCATGCTGTTTTCATCATCATGGTGAATGGTAATAATCGCTCCTCCCAACTTGTTATCGTGGCAGTTCTCTTTCTAAAAAACTTGCATTTTGCGGCAGTGTTCTTATGATAACAATGATGAGTTAACATTTAGTTCATCTCTATATTTCAAACCTCTTTGACAAATGATGATCTACTCTTCAGAAATGGTTGTTTTTATTTACAGTGTGAAACTTTTTTTGGTGTGCAATTACAAATATTTTCTTAGCTTTCTGTTGTCGCAGATACCTTTTATCAATATGAAAGACGGAACACTGAAATTTACTTTTACCTTGAATTTTGTTTGCCTTTTGTGTACTGATGCTTGATTATACTGAAATCATATTTTGAACGCTCTGCACATCTCAGACAAAAAAGAAAAAACCGCTCCACACGTGTTTCTTTATCAAGGGTTCAGATAGAATACTTTTATTGTTATTGTTATCAGATGCATCTTCATTCCTATTTCTCTGTAAATTTCGTATGGAAAATTTATGTTAGTTAATTTTAGAGCCCTTGTGATGCTTACTTCACATTGGTTATTTTCAGACACCTTGGTCCGTCAGGCAGCAATGGTGCTGAAGTGTTCTATATTAATGTACTACAAAAACAGTAGAGGCCGAAACTATCGTAAGCAGGTGAGGTAATAAGTAGTTAAGCAAAACTAGATTCGGGTATATTATTTTCTTTTGGAAAAGAATAAGTTAGGAGCTGGCTCAAGAGAGCTTATGGCTGTTTTAATTACCTCTCATCTTCATTTGATTTCTAGAACAAAAATGAAGGGATATGTTCATAAAATTGATGGTTTTATCCCTTCTGTTTTCACCATAATCTCTTGAGTCTTGACTGAAGAAGTCCTCTTTTATAGGGTCAAATGCTTACTCTGGTTGAGTATCTACTGCTCTTGTACCGGGCCTTGTTGCCAACACCAGTGTGGTACCGGTTCTTCTTGAACAAAGAATATGGGAGTCTCTTTTCGTCACTAATGACAGGGTTATATTTGACTTTCAAGCTCACATCTGTTGTCGAGAAGGTAATAGTTTGTGCTCCTGATATCTCTCAAGTTTTCTGACCTCTTCATTAAGAACACCTTCCAGAAAAGTTGTTTCTCACTTGTCATTACTGTTTATGCTTCTCCCTTGTTCGTTGTGGTTAGGTGCAATCCTTCTTTGCTGCACTGAAGGCATTGTCACGAAAAGAGGTGCACTATGGGGCATATGCAACTTCAGAACAGGTAAACTACCATAATTTGCCATGCAATTGAACTGTATAGGTCCAAATTACATGGAAGTTAGTAGGATATCAGTTTCTTCCCAAATATGTAACAAAATTATGTGCTAATGTACTCAATCGTTCTATGCTTGTTTTTGTTGGCAAGTGTGGATCTTTGTGTAGCACATCCAGAATATAAGCAACATCTGACTGATGAGCTTAGTCCTTTGCAAGTCCTCTTTGTTAGGATATGAGCATTGAGGGCTTCCTTTTTTTTTATTGTCAGCAGTTGTTAGATTATTAATACAATCTAAACGTCTTTAAACCAGCTGAATGGAATACTTGAAGTTGAGCTAACTACTCCTCTATTTTGGAACTTCACTGTATTTAGGTTCTTTTACTATTGTCAGCTAAGAGTTTGTTAGATTTGTCTTAAGAAAAAAACATCTGAACATAACTTTTTTGCCTTGGGGTTTCAAGGTTTTATGTGTTTCATTTTGGTAGTTATGAAACTTTCATGGGAGAGTTTGTGGTTCGTGCATTCTAAGTTGTCGGTTGTTTGATGCAGGTCAATGCAGCAGGCGATCTATGTGCTATTTGCCAAGAGAAGATGCATGCTCCTATCCTACTTCGATGTAAACACATCTTTTGCGAGGACTGTGTATCAGAGTGGTTAGTTTACGTTTATTATGCATTCGATAACTCTTTGTACAAATTTCCTAGTTACCTGTTGAAAAAACAATTCCTACGCTACCAGTTATCCTGCATTGCAAGTTTAACATTTTTGAGAAACAAGGTAGATTGTCGATTGCTTGTTTTCAATGATTTACTGGTTAAAATTTGTTCCAATTTCCATGGAATAGGATAATATCCGAGTAATCCCCACAGAATTAACGGACAGCCATTCATTCACTTTGCTTATGGTACCCATTTTGGCTGCTGACAGACTCATTTTTTCTTTTTTTCAGGTTTGAGAGGGAACGGACGTGTCCGTTGTGCAGAGCTCTGGTAAAACCTGCAGATCTAAGATCATTCGGCGATGGATCAACGAGTTTGTTTTTCCAGCTGTTCTAAAGCCGTCCACTGTAAAGAAAAAAAACAGAGAGTTTTTCTGTTTTGGAGTTCCAATTCATATCCAAAGCAGCCATCTCCCAAATCCAGATCCTCATAACCATACACTGGTATATTCGATTTGTCATTTTTGCTCCGCCTTGTTAACGGGTTTGCCTCCGCAAAAAACTTATACGTTGTATCGAGAAAAGGTCAAATGTATGTAATGCTCCGATTTAAGCAACAGAGAAGTTATTTTGATAACACACCATATATACATGTTTATTTGCCGTGGATCATACTTTCCTTCCTCCCCTTAGACTTTGTCGAACATATTTGCTGACATGGCATCACGTCGTCCGCCAATTGTGAGGCAAAGCTAACTTTCGACCACCTATTTTCGCTCCTCTTTCTTTAGAACTTTCCCTCTCTAAAATGTATGTATAGGATGGCTCACCAGCACCCCTCTCCAACCTTGATCGATCTGAATGTAACATATTCGATTACACCAGAGAAGCGAAATCTCTCTCTCTCGTTTGCGTTCTTTCGCTTGATTTGAGAACTCTCAACGGCATTTTGATCCAGATATGGTGATGGCAAGGAGAGGGAGGTACATGCACAACTGGGTGGAAGTTGCACCACCGCAGGTGATCTCCCGTGAGAAATGTTCGAGTTTTCCGAAACTGGAGACCATTGTCGAAGAAGGGTCCGAGAGCTTTGAGATTCTGCCGAAGCGGGTGGTGTTTCTTCTTCCGGTGTTCTTTTCTCTTGTTTCTTACTTGATATTGTATTGGCAGATCGTTTGATCTACCTTTTGGGGGAAATAGATTGGCAGGTTAGAATGTGAGGCGTTTGATCGCTTCTGAAAATGTTATCATGCAATTTGTAGTATTTGAATGTGATCCATGCCCATTGTTTCTAGCCATTATGTTGTTTTATTTTAACTTCAAAGGAAAAATCGTATGATAACATATTGAGGAGAAATTCTGATAGGATTGTCTGACCGGTGTATAGGTGAACGGTCTAAATCATTTGAGCTATAAACTCCGCAAAATTGACGATATTATTCAAGAACTAATAGCGTGCACGCTGGTTGTAGTTTGGTTGTACAATGAAGGACATGGAAAACAACTTTTGAACTTGTGCTAAGAGGCACACAGGGTACTAGAAATAAACCCAACCTCAAAGAAATTAACAAAATATTACACCCACGGATTAATAATATTGCAGGCGAAAGAAGAATGCCCCCTTCCGCCTTTATCCTTCCTCTCCCCCTCTCCAAGAGGAAAAGGAAGGGAAAAAAATTAAAAAAAAATGCTAAACTAATCTTTAATCGTTAACGAAAACGAACAGCGAATGCTTAAGCAGAATCAGGTGGTCTTTTAGTGTCTTCTGCTGCTACAGAGAGCGTTTTAGTAGCGGCTTCTGCTGTAGGCAGCGATTTTGTAGCAGCTTCTGCTGTTGAAGAATAATGTGTTTTGGTAGCAGCTCCTGCTGAAGAAGGTGTTTTAGCATGTTCTTGCTTGGGAACCAAGGTATCGGAGCTTGGCATGGCCTCATTTGCAAAAACGTCTTTATTTTCTTGTGGCTTGGCGAGGATAGGGGATATTTCTTTAGTAACTGGTGAGATTGCAGATGAAGAATCCTCTGGAGGCGGGGATGGGGGTGCTGATGAAGGCGGGGAAATGGAGAGCATCCTGGAGACGCCGGTGGGGCTGGTTAAGGGGTTAACTTCTGTGACTTCTTCATCATCTAAATACACAACATCCTGCATTGTCAGCTGGTGGTATTCAACAATTTCCCTAAGGAACCGATTCTCGCGTGCATAAACTGAATTCTCGTTCGCTAGTCGAGCCTTCTCTGCCAGAAGTGTCTCCAGTTGAAGGCGGATCTGATACAATCCCATATATATACACGTCAGAAACATTTCTAAATTACATTTAGTCGCACTACTCGAGCGATACTCTAATTTAAACTAGACTAAGGGATGGAGAATTCGAACTTGGAGCGGATGGGGGCACACTGTCCTAGCCAAATTGAAGTTAGTCCTACTATTCTACTTGTGGATCGGTAACACAGTACAATGAAAACCGAACACAAAAACAGAAACCTACCAAGTCATCATCTGCTCTGTGGTTTCCCTTGTCACGATTCTCGCGAAGGCGTTTATTTTCTTCTTCTAGTTGAGAACAACGTTCCTTCGCAAAGGCCAGATCTGCCTTAACGGTTTTCAGCTCCCGAAGAAGTAATTTTGCTTTGGCAGCCGTTGCCATTGCAACCTGTGACCCAAAACCAACACCACTTATGCATTCATCTGGCTCAATTCAAGTCTAAATAAATCGAAAATGAAAAACTGAGAATCACATCCGAAACACTTCATCAACATATAATTCAACTGAAGTAAGATTCATTTCGTCTTAAGATTACGCAAGCCAGTCACACACAACTACATAATTGCCACCTTACGTCGCGTGATGCCTTGAGTTGGGTATCGTGGTTCTTAGGCTGCAACGGTGAACTGTTCTGGTTCCCATGATAAGAAGCTTGATTTTGCGCATCAGGATTGTCTCCCCTTCGTTTAATTTGCATTTTGATGTCGGCTGTCTTATTCTCCACTATCGTTCGACCTTCCTGAAAACCAAACACAAAAGCACAAGCCACACTATGAACATACTTGTTTCCCAAAGTACTAAACTTGACATCCATCCATTATCTATAACTAGCAAGGAATTTTAGTTACCTCGAAAGCCTTCTCAAACGTGTCCCCGAGCTGATTAAGGGAAGTTGTGATTCTATCCAAGCCCTTTCGGAGTGCAGGATTTTCCGTTCTTCTAGAGTTGTCATATGACTGATAATATGGTTGTTGTTGGAACTGTCTCCGAAAGGGAAAGATGCCAAAAAATCAAGCGACGAAGCTCAACAATCAAAAGAACGCATGTTGAATGCAAAATGTTTATCAAATGGACCCTAAATTAACGGTGCATGAGACGCTTGTATTTGTAATTTCATACAAAGATCAAGTTGGAAGTTCACCTGAGTGCCACCGGAGGCAACAGAGGGCTGTGATATGAATCCTCCAGCCGCATCATCTTGTGGGAATTCACCATCCTCTTCCAGAATGGCCTTCGCTTTCCGAGCCAGAACACCCCAAAACCCGGATTTTGCAGATGCGTCGTCATAGGCAGAGAAGTCCTGCATTATTTATAGCAATGATCACAATCACCTCATTTTTTTTCTTTCAATAAGACTACTTTTATCTACATCGAACGCTTCGAACTTTGACATACTATCCCAACCAAGTGGCCTAACTCATATACGCGATCACAATTCAATGCAAATAAAACCAGCCCAGATGAGCAGATCATATCAGAAAACAGAGAATGATTACAAAATTTAAAATTTCAAAAAGATTAACCAAAAGATCCACGTAAGTTTGAACAAAAGAACACCTGGGATCGGTTGTTGCGTTCAACAGAAAGCGCAGAAGCACGGATCGCCTGAGCCGCGAGAGACGAAGAACCGGAGAAGGACGACGAAGACTGCAGAGGGGAAGATGAGTTCGGTGCAGAACTGTTGTCCGGAGGGCGATGAATGATCTCTTCTTTGAAGGTTGACGACCTTGTTATCCCCTGCCTTCTCCTGTACGCCATTTCGGCTGCCGGAGCTTTATGTATTAGTTGTTAACGAGGTTGACTGGATTTTGTACGAGTTCCCTTTCGACGATCGTCACCCCCGCAGTGACAACGACGGAGGAGGAGGAGGAGGAAGAAGGCGGTTGGTTTTTTCTTTGGGTGGCGTAAGTAACTAACTCTTCCGCCTTTTCTTCTTAGAGCAACTAAAAAACCGAAACATGAAATGAATGAACGGATGTTAAGCCGTAAAACACACACACAAAACAGAAACAGACAAAAATGAGCACACAGCCATCTCTGTACCATCCATTTAACTAATAAGTCACGCGCACTTCAAAACGCGACTATTTAAATTCACTCTTATGGTACGTTTACTTATATAAAACGAGAGAAGTTATAAATAAAAAAAATAAAAATCAGGTATAATATCAACCGTCTTAAGTTAATTTAATGCTTGTTTTTAAAAATATTTAATTACGAATTTCAATAGATTCACATACTTTTATTCTATATGTGATAGTAAATGTAAGGGAATTGAAATAAGAAGTGGACACATTTATGTGTTTACTAACAATCAAGGAAATGAAAAAAATTGGAGTATGATTCTCTTCTCTCCAAATTCCTCCTGTCCAGTCCCCTCCTTTCTTACTTTCCTTTTTTTCTTTCTCTCTCAATAAAGATAAAGAAGTGGTTTAATAGTGACCGTTGATGTGTCTTAATAGCGACCATCCAAATAGGACGGGAGGGGAGAGGAATTTAAAGAGAAGAGAATCCTACTTCAAAATTAATAGTGACCGTTCAAATAAGACGGGAGGGGAGGAGAATTTAGAGAGGAGAGAATCCTACTTCAAAAAAAAAAAGTGTATCCACATTGATTTTGGGTATCTCGTACATTCTCATATTTGAAATATCAATGAATGAGATTGCCAAGTATACGTGAACACAGAACTTCACCTAATAATTTAGATGGGGAAACATGTTGTCTTGTGTTGTTGTGGGACAATGACGACTCACGAATGCATTCGAAGTTCGGAAGTGGCCCGTTGTAAAAAGGACTTTCAACAACTGGATCCCTTGGCAGCTGTTTGACGTGTGAGCCATGTTTGTACAATATACAAGAACTAATTGCTTCATGCACAAGTAACCGTATTGGTATGCCACCCCGTCCCTGTCGTGCTATTTATACACACTTTCTTACTTTTCACATGCTTTCTGTTAATTTATATTCTATCATCTTCTTCAATTCTTTTGAATTTAAGACAAGAGAGGTTCCTCGTAGGGAATACACTTGTTTCGATCTCCGCAGAGCACCCTAACCTTGTTTCGAGCTTCAGAGAAAGCAACGAACAAAGTAAGGATCTGAGATGAGTCCGCACCAAACGCTTTGACACACACTTGCATTGAAAGATCAATTTAGGGCAAGGAAGTGGACAAAGAATTTCAACCAACAAAAGCTCTGGGAGATCATCCATCTTAATCAATTCGTGTTCGTAGCTTCGGCATCATCGGTTGCTTTTTTCTTGGGGTAATCAATCCGTCTCCATCAACATGAATACGATGAGGACTGTCGACTTGGTGGTGAGATTGATAATCTTCACCTATATATCCCACTCATCGTAACGCAGGCCGTGTTATTAAACCCGAACCCTAAATCCTAAACCAAAATA